CTTGGAGTCCACAGCCCCCTTACCCTCTCCCTGGGGACCCCTTTCTGGCCCCTGGCACTGTTCCCTAACCCAGAGCTCCAGCGTCTTCTCCACCTTCGTGACCCCAGACTCGTCCTTCAACCTCCCAACCCCTTCTCAGCATCTCAGCCACCCTGTCCCTCCCTAGGGTTTGGTCGCAAGACTTTTCCCTCGGGGCTACTAGCTCCCTTTTCTGACCCAGGGAGCAGCTAAGGACATCTCCCACCCCACCCCCCACCCCCGCCACCCTAGGCCTCCTTCTCCTGTCCCTGAAGACCTCTCCAAGCTCTGTAGACCAACTCTGCAGGGCAGGGCTGGAGCCCCCCAGGCCCATTGCGGTGTGTGGGCAGCCTCTGTGAGGGGGATGGGGCCTGGCTCCCCAGGGCGGGCACAACGGGGTACAATTGGGCCCCTGGGCCTGCTGGGTACCCCAAGGACCTGGCCTGTACCCCCTTCCCCTGACTTTCCCTGCTGCCCGCCTCTCCCCCTCAGTGCTCTCTCCTCTGTCTCTGGCACTCCACTGGTCTCTGCTGCCGCTCCTGGTGGGCCTCCACCTGTCTGTGTCCCTCTGTTTTCTGTCATCTCCCTGTCTGGCTCTGGCTCTCCACAGGCCTCAGGATGAGCCCCTTGGTCCCCTAGCCCAGGGTGAAGGGGTGCTGCTTGGCCCCAGGCTTCCCTGTGGAGCACCCACCCTTTGGGAGTAGGGGCTTGTGTGACAACGCCCCCGCCCCCTCCTAGGAGGCTCTTCCTTCCTGGCCTCCATCGTGTTCCCTCTAACTCCCCTCTCTACTGATCACCCCCCCACCCCCGCCTCCATTCAGAAGGCTCTACCCTGGCCTCTTGGCTCCACTGAGCAGCCCACAGCTCAGTGACCCTGTCTTTCCTGCCTCCTTCCCACCCAGCTCCACCTCTCGGGGCTCAGGGGCTCTGGAGAGGCTGGTGCAGGCCCTTCTGCAGCCTCATTCGGACAGGCCACCAGGCTCCCGACTCCCTCTGTTGCTCCTCAGGCCGGTGCCCATGCCGGGTTCACCCCAGCCTGACTTCTCTCCACCTCCGGGTCTTTCTCCTTCCCTCAAGGTCACGACATGGCTATCCGTTCTGTAGAAAGAACACTGGTCTGGAAGTCTTTTTGACCGCTTTTTATTAGCTCCTGCACCCCCAATCACCCATGCCTCCCCTCTACCTGTCCCCCACCTCTTCCTGCCCTTTCACTCAATCGGGCCCTGGCTCAGGCCCATCAGGATTTTTCTTGGACCCCGGGTGGACCCAGCTCATGGACAGCAGGGGCTTCCATTAGGGCCCAGGGAGCTTGGGGACTTGGCTTGGCTCTTTACGCCACTCTGGAACTGGCATCCATGCCCCAGGCCCTGTGAGCCCTTGGCTTCTTCCTTGCCCCACATCTCACCCCCCTACTCCCCTCCACCCTCCCACCCAACGTAGGTTCCCTTCTGTCCATCCTGCCGCATGAGACAGTGGGCCTGGGCCTTGTGACATAAGGTGCTCAGGCTCAGGTGCTTCCCCACCCCCTCCCCGTCCACCCCCCACCCCCAGAAAGCCCCTCCGCCCCAGTGAATGTCACTGTCAGGCACCTCAAGGCCAACTCGGCGGTGGTGAGCTGGGATGTCCTGGAGGATGAAGTTGTCATCGGATTTGCCATCTCTCAGCAGGTAACCCTCAAGGGTCCTCGGGCAGGAGACCACGTGGAGATAGAGACAGGAGGGAAGAGAAAGGAAACTCCAGATGAAGCCCACACTCACTGCCAGAGAGGCCCTGCTGACTCACAGTGAGCCAGCCTATGGGCTTCCGGGGCTGTAACTGTCTCCGGACGTAGAAAGCCTCAACTTTCTCCTGGGGACCAGCGGGTGGTTTTGAACTGCTGAGCATCAGGATTGTGGCCCAATATGTAACCGCTACATCAGTTGGGGTCTTTGAGGAGGAAGGAAGGAAGGCAGAAAGTTGCACATGTGGCTTGAAACTGGGCCTCCAGAGGGCCACCAGTGAGTGGCCTTGGGAGGGTTGGCTCAGACCACAGAAATTCAGAACCCAGTTCTGCTTGGGGCCAGAAAGAGCTGAGCATAGGACCCGGCTCCAGGTGTCTGTAGATGTATATGCCTTTAGGCAACCTCCCTGCCCTGCGAGGGGCGAGAACAAGCCGATGGGCTGTCAGGGGTGTGTGTGTGTGTGAAGGATCCAGGGTGGGTGGCCCCGTGGGGGAGAGCAGGCCTTGGGGACTGGGCCCTGTGAACGGTGGGCCTGGACTCCCGGCTTTTGCAGAAGAAGGACGTGCGGATGCTGCGCTTCATCCAGGAGGTAAACACCACCACTCGCTCCTGTGCCCTGTGGGACCTGGAGGAGGACACCGAGTACATTGTGCACGTGCAGGCCATCTCCATCCAGGGGCAGAGCCCGGCCAGCGAGCCAGTGCTCTTCAAGACCCCGCGGGAGGCCGAGAAGATGGCCTCCAAGAGCAAAGGCAGGTCCCGGCCCGGTCACAAAGGGGGCAGGGTGGGCAGGCCCAGAGTAGGTGGGCAGCTTGAGACCGCACTGTGCCCACCTCCCACCAGTCAAGGAAAGCAGTACCTGAAGGGAGAAAGGGTTCATTCTAATCCTCCAGGGCAGTGGGCACATGGGTTTGAACGCCTAACTTCACTCAGATCCTGATCACAGCCACCCAGTAGCTAGTGGTCGCTCGTGGGTCTCTGGACATTCGGTGCGTGGGCAGCTACAGAAATAAGTGCTTGAGGAGTGCCTGGCAGGAGGGCAGGGACTGAGGGCTAGTGTCTGTCCCCACAGATGAGGTGACCATGAAGGAGATGGGGCGCAACCAGCAGCTGCGGACGGGCGAGGTGCTCATCATCGTGGTGGTCCTGTTCATGTGGGCGGGTGAGTCCAGGCGTCAGACCCTTCTTCTTTGCATCGCCCCTGGGCCACCAGGTCCCTTCTCTCACAGAAGCCAAGGGCAAGGTGCCCGGAGACCTGAGAGAAGAGATCTGAAGTCTCAGAGGTCCTGCCTGGGACATAGGTACCTCTCCCATGTCCCTGACACACCCCGCCTTCAAATACCGGTAGCATACTGGTCGCTGCTATGTGGGCTATGTGGGAAGGAGCACTTGTGCTTCCCACGGGCAGCAAGGGGCCCAGCTCAGGGAGAGGGCCGTGCTCAACTCTTTTGCCTTCTGGCCAAGGCTGCAGCCTCACCGGGGGTGTTGTGCCTCAAGGGACTTAAGGCCTCGGTAGTTCAGTGCCTCACCTCAAGCTGGGGACCCCTCCTGAACTAACCAGCTCCAAAGAGATGACCTCCGGGGTCTCCTAGCCCCTCCGGTAGAATGGCCCTCCTGCTCGGAGCTCCCCGAGACTTAAGACTGAGTTCCACTCTTCATTTCTGCATCAGTTCTATCGCAGGCTGTAGGACTACCAAGTGTGACTAAGGAGAGGCCTGTGCTTACGGAAGGAAGCCCAGGCCCCGGTTGACAATACTTCAGTGGGTGGAGGGGGTAAGAGCAGCATGTGCAGAAACAGCAGATGTTGTTAGGTCCCGTGTAGTGGACTCTGACTCATAGTGACCCTACTGACCACAGAAGGACATGTCACCCTCCTCATCCTCGCCACATTTAAGCCTGCTCTTGCCCCGTGGTGCCAGTTAACATTGTGCAGCTCTTTAAAGGTCTTCCCCGTTTTCACCGACCCTCCACTTTTCCAAGGATAATGTCCTTTTCCAGGGACCGATGTCTCCTGATAGCAGGTCAGCTGGTCAAACCATGGTGGCTTCCGTGTGTCACTGGTATTTAAAACACCAACGCGGTCACCTGGTCAACAGGTTTCCAAAGAGCTTCCAGAGCAAGAACAGACTAGGATGTAGGGAGAGATGGTCCACTTCTGGAAAATTCACCGCTGAGAACCTTATGAATCGCAGAAACAGAGGAAAGGGGATCCCTTCTGGGGCTGGGGGAGAAAGCAGGAAAGAGCAAGTCATGTGGGCACGGGGCTTTGCGGGAGGACACCAGGCAACCCAACTCGTGTCCTGGACATTGTGTGGTCAAGAGATGGACACTCAGAGCAGCTCCAGGCTGAGAGAGAAGACGGGAAGCGGAAGAGTGGAGGAAGTAGGTTGTAAAGGAGTCTGGGATGCCTTCCATGGTTTTTGAGCTTTGTATGTGGTTTGGGTGGACATCTATGAATGACCTTCCCATTGGACAATCTGTACACATTTTGTTCCATGCCATGACTTGCCACCCCTCTGTGTCGCAATCTTCCCCGGGCCCCCTATTGCTATTTGCCCTGCTTCCCGCCCCCTCCTGCCTTTTGAACGTTGTTTTGTCACTAAATGCTGCCTGTGTGGTCAACTGTTCTGAGAAGCACGGTCCTCACGGGTGTGGATTGGCTGACAGGTGATTTCTGGAGTGCATTTGGTTCCAGGTTTAAAGGTCTAAGGAGCCCTGGTGGCAGCATGGTTACGTATTGGGCTGCTATCTGCAAGATCAGCAGTTCAAAACCACCAGCCACTCCTCAGGAGAAAGGCAGGGCAAAGAGCCACAGTCTCAGAAACCCACAGGGGCAGTTCTACCTTGTCCTGTAGGGCTGCCATGAGTCAGGTTTGATTGGATGGCAGTGAGTATGGTCTGTTTGGTTTGGTCAAAATCTATTAGGCAGGTGCAGTATCAGTCTGACAAAAACCAGGAAAGGAGCTTGCGTGCACGCCCAGCTCCGCCCCGTGACCGGTCAGTGCCCTGGGATGAGGACAGTAGGTCCCGAGAGGTTGTTGAGGAATCGAGGTGGACTATGCCAGGGCCTGGCTTCTGCTCAACAAATGTTCTTTGTGTTTGTTACCCCCACCCTTGCCTGCCCCCAGGAAGGAAGGGGGGCCTGACAGAGGTCTGGTAGAAGGGGAGGGAGGGAGGTTCAGACAGCATCCCCAGCAAGTGCTGGTGGGCGACACTGGTCAGACAAGGACTCGGGCTGTCCCTCCTGTGCCCCCACCCCCCCAGGTGTCATCGCCCTTTTCTGCCGCCAGTATGACATTATCAAGGACAACGAACCCAACAACAACAAGGACAAAGCCAAGAGCCCATCGGAGACCAGCACCCCTGAGCACCAGGGCGGGGGTCTTCTCCGCAGCAAGGTGAGGGCGGCGAGGGCGGGTCCCAGCTGTGCCCTGCTCATCCCTGGACTGCAGAGGAGGTGCAGCTCAGGGCCTGGCCCGGCAAGAGCCCGGGCCGAGCCAAGCTGGGCCCCAGCCTGTGTGACCGGGAGACGCTGCAGATGGATTCTGGATCCTTTCCTGTTGCTTGGTGCCAGAAGTGGTTTAAAAAAATAAGGGCAGCGGGCGGAACTCTTGGTTGGTGTGGGGAAACCGGGGTCGGTCGGGGGGTGGGGGGGGGCCCTGGGCTCGTTTCCGCTCCTGCTGGGCGGTGTGGCTTTCAGTAGGTGCTTTCCCTCTCTGTGCTTTCGGTGAAACAGCTATGAAACCCTACTCAGGGCTTGCTCTGAGCGACTCGAAGACAGACCGTAGGGAATGAGAGGGTCTCCTGGCTCTGACGAGGATTATCCAACAAGCACCCAGACCTCTCTACATCTCCTCTTCCCTCCGTCTCCACGCTCCCGCTGGGTGCCTGTCCCCTCTCTCGCGGTCTCTCTTCCTGACACATGTTCCTGAAGCCTCCTGTTAGAAGTCCCTCCACACCGGCAGTGGCTGAGGCTGCACTCAGAGGCAGATCCATAGGATGGAGAACCAGCCCGAGGGATGGCTCAGCTGGGGGCCCTTGGGGGCCCAAAGGCTGGGTTTGAGAAGGCAGAGGGACACGCCAGGCAGACAGGGTCGCTCTTTCCTTCTACAAGGGGGCAAGGGCTTGGCCTTCAGGCGGCAGCCCTGCTGGTGTTCTTCCTCCTCCTGTCCTCTACCTAGTTCCAACCTTGCAAGAAGTCGATGCAATTAGCCCTGGCCGCTTCTCTCATTTTTCCCCCTCCCAGTTTCCAAGTCAGCCCTCCGCGAGCAGCATCCAAGCGTGACTGCCTGCCTGCAGGAAAAAGGATTGCAGTTTTCTTCTCTGCTGGGCTGCAGAGGAGAGGGAGGACTGCGGCGTGGGGAGGAGGCACAGCTGGCCAGCTGCTCGGTTCTCTCTCTTCCCCTGGCCTCGTCTGGAAAAGGAGGCTGAACTCAAAACCCAAATTCTGCAAAAAATAACAAGCCACAAAATGAAAAGGCCCGGCCCCATTCTAGAGAGGGCAAAGCTGCCCGAGAGATGGCCTTCTGCCTCCTCGCTGCTCCTGGCCCAGCTTCCTCTTTGAGAAAATGCACAAAGCTCCTGGGAGAGGCCCCGCACCCACCAGAGGGACTTTTAGGCCAAGGCACATCAGGGAAGCCGCGGGGCTGCCTGCCTGCCTGGCAGGTCAGGCTGCCACCAAGCCTTTTCTGGATCCAGCCATCAAGGACTTGTGGTGGGATGCACAATTTTGAGACGGTTCTCGCTTTTGGAAGACGAAATTGGAGTTTCTACTCCAGAGGGCAGAGGGGTCCCCGCAAGGACCGAGTTGGTCGCTTGACCCCTGTGTCTTCTCTGGCCCTTGCTTTGATGACAAAGCTCATTAGACTGGGGGGTCTTAAGAAGGAGAGAGAGAAGTGGGAAGCACTGGTCCCATTTCTTTAGGAAACCTCTTGTAGACCGTTTGCCCTGCCGGCTTGTCCACGCGCAGCATCCTGGGGTCTGCTAGACCACCCCCACTGGCGGACAGGCCTAAGCCACAGATGGATAGGCCAGTCCAGGCTAGCACCACTGGCCCCTGGGGTCTCCATATTCTGCCATCTCATCCAGGGCTCTGTAAAAGCTACCCAGGGTCCTCATGTCCTTCCTCAGAGCCCGAGTAGTCTGAAGTGACAGGTCTCTCTCTCCACTGCCCCTTTCTGGTTTAAAAAAAACTAACAACAAAATGGTGCTTGAGAGGGGAAGGCGGACTCTTCCTGAGACTGAGGATTTGCTGCTGCCGGCCTGGGAAGAGATGGGCATCTGCATCTCCCATTGGTGGACAAGGCCAGGGATGGAGTGTGGGAGGACGACGCCTAGCACAAGCCTGGCACACAGCCGGCACTCAGAAAAGGTTTGCTGAAGTGAAGGGCAGCAGCAGAGGCCCGTCCGCCAGAGAGCTGAAAGCCATCACTGAAGGCCGGCCCTTCCTTCCGGTCGCTCTCCCAGCGCTCTCGTGGCTGGACCAGCCTCCACGCTGCCTCTGGAAGCGGGAGTGTGGGAGCAGGGGGAGGGAGAAGGGGAGCGGAGCGGGCAGCAATGTTAAGGGCTTCCTCATGGGAGGGCATGAGGCTCCACCCCATTGTCCTGTGACTTCCATCCCTGCTGAAAGGGGGCTATCAGGCCAAGGCTCCTTAGGGGAGGGTCCTTCCCTGGGATCCAGTTAGAGCAATAACCACTTTTTAAATGTAAAATAAAGACAAATGAAAAGGCACATCCTTGTCTTCTGGTAAATGCCCAAATGTTGCCCTCTTTTCCTGGCAGTTGGCAGCAAGTCAGGCTGTGTGGAGGAGGGAGGCAGCTCTCTCCTCTCCATTTGGCCTGCAGCTCTGGAGGGACATGCCTGCCAGCCAAGCTGGAGTTGGAAGGGAAATCTCTAGCAGATGGGGGTGCACGTGTAGGAAGAGAAAATAGCTGCTCCAGCATCCTCTTCCTAAGGAGCCCCCCAAACCAAACTCGGGCTGCCGCACTGCAGAGGTATGCAGGCTGGTGCTTGCTTTTTAAAAGGGTTTTCCCCTTTGGGTGGGGCTGGGAACTCTCCTTGTGGAGGGGAGGCAGTCCTTGTCTCTCTGGAAGGCGAGGAGGGGAAAGGGTGGCCAATGCCTCTGCTCTCAGTATTCACAGCATGCTGTTAAGGGACGATCATTACCATCCTAACTGCAGACTGAAAGGGAGAGCAATGATGCCATTAGCCAATGAGCAACCCAGTAAATGGGGCACCTTGAACACTGCTGTCCAAAGCCGGGAAGAGCTTGGAGGGAAAAGTCCGGGTGAGAGTGGCCTAGGCTTCTCCCTTCTGGAAGGGTCTAAGGGCAAAAGTCAGCGTAAAGGTTGGGTAGGAAAAGCTCAGCAAGTGCACCAAGGCCTCAGTGCCCGCACGGGGTCACAGCAGCGCAGAAAGGAGGCGGGGCTGCAGGGAGCTCGGCCTGTGGGCCACCTGTGCTCATCTTTCCTGGGCCTGCAGCCTCAGGCAGCAGTTTCCAAGGTTATGAGGGGAGGCAAAGGCCCAACACTCCCAGCTTAGACAAACTCCACTTCCTGTTCTGCCTCCCTAGCCCTCTCCTCCCCCCACCCCAGAGTTCTACACTCAGTGCTTCTCAAAAGCAGTTGCAAAGTAGAACCCTACAGCGAGGACTTGGGATGTGCTCTTCTCCCTCCCTCACCGATCTGCAGGGATGGCTGGCAGCCGGAGAAGGGCAGAGGCAAGTGCCTGGGCACCAGTGCTGGCTTCCAGAGGGAGGAACCTGGGATGAGTCAGACCAGGCTTGTCAGCACCTAACCCCGCAGGCGAGCCACTTCTCTAGGCTTAGATTCCCAAACCAGAGAGGTTCCATCAGAAGACTCCCCCACCCCCACCCAACCCCAGACTCCACACACTTCCTGGAGCAAGAGCCTGGAGATTTCCACGTAGGAACAAGAGGAAAACTCCAGGTCTGTAAAGAGGAAGAGAGAGTGTTTCTGCCATTTTCTCCTCCTCCTGTGTCAACCTCCACTGCTGGGCTCTCCCATTCTTACAGAAACACGTGGCCTCTCCCCACTCTGTTCACTTGGTGTTTCAGACGTCTCCGGTACATCTCACCTCTTTCAACCTATTGGCTGGAAATCGGCTCTTCCAGAAAGAGCCTTGTCCGAGAACTTGCCTGTGCCCTAGTCGAAAGGAGACATCTCTGCAGCGCACGCGCGGAGGCAAACGCCACACACCAAGTTCTTACAAGAACCTCCTTCGTAGCGGCCAGGAACACCGCTGAGCATCCTACCCTACACAGAGCAGCACCCCCCTCACAATGGGGAGGCTAGCTGGGCCCCCCTGGAAAGAGGACTCCAGTGGGGCAGTGCTGTGGGAGAGGAATACTTTCTGGACAGGACCAAAGTGAAAGGCATCCAGGAGGGCAGGCAGGTACTGCCCCACCTTCATTCGGTGGGCATGGTTCTCCTGGTTCCAGTCAGGCTGTCCAGGCCCCCAGGGCCAGGAGTTTGATTGGCAGCGAAGATCTTAATGTGTTGCATAAAGCCATTTTCTCTTTCCAGGAGTGGTCAGTTTGTACCTCATCCTCAAATACCTGCTGGAAAAGAATGCAGCAATATACCTGTTTAAGGGTCCTGGATCCTGTTTTTAATTCACCTCTTTTTGGCAATAAGAAGGAAGGAGGGAGGGCAGTGCATAAGTAGATTAATGCTGTATTAATGCTAATTTCTAAAAACAAAATTACTGCAAAAAAAGAAGGCGTTTGAGACTAAGGGTCCTTTGGATTCCTTTTCCGAAGTATCCCCCTTCAATAAACTCACCCTCCTTTCTGTTCAAACCTTTAAAAAGAGAGGAAAAAAAAGAAAAAAAGAAGAGATTTTGTCTATAAATGAGAAACCTAAACTGGAAGAGGTCTTTGTATACAAATGCAGTCACTGTCCAGTGGCACAGCGCTTTAGGACTATCACTTGACTTTAAGGTTGTCAGCAAGATTCCCCCGCCCCCGATGCTGGGGAGAACTGGCTGTTCTGTCTGTGATGTGTTCCAGTTGTCATGGGGAGAACAGGTGGGGGATTGACCAGGCAGGAGCCTGTTCATGATGGAATCCCACCACTGACCAGCTGATCCTTCCTGTGGCCAGTGGAAATTTTTCCCGACAGGTGCTCTGGCATCCGAAGCAAGCACACCCGCGAGTCACCTTAGGAATCATTCTGCTTTCTGCCAGCAAACCAGGACGACACTGAGAAAAGCAGGGAACTCTGCTTTCTAGTTTTCAGGTGGCTGGTTTTTGCTCCTAGAAAAGCTCTAAGCCAGCTCATTGGAGAATGATCTCAGTCCTCTTTGAGAAGGCTGCTCTCCTTTCGTCTCCACTTTTCCAGACCCCAGAGCACGCGGGGGAAGGAAAAGCAGCACTTCAGAGGATCCAGCATGGTCCCCAAGTGTGCCGCTGACGGCAGGAGGCACACACAGCTAGAAAGGAAACAAGCAGTTGCAGGACAAAGGATCATCTGTGCCCAACAGGAACAAAATGGACGTGGATGGCCCAAGAGTATGCCAGCCAGACAACAGCACACAGCTGAGTACTTAGCAAGTGTACACTGAGCCTTTCGTCCAGACTGTAGAGCATATATTCTAAACACAACTTAGAGTACACAGGACAGCAAGCCTGCCCAGACTCTTTGTACTTACCGTCTCAGCATGAGGGGGGTTTTAAAGGCATTGGCGAACAGAGGAGACAAGCTATTATTACTTTCCCTTTCATCCTTGCTCCTGGGAGTAATTCTAAGAACCTAGGTTCACCTGCAGGATCTAAGGAATGCATTTCCACATCCACTCACTCTCTGACTTTTACCCCTGCTTCTAGCAGTCAAGTAAACTAAGAATAATCAATGGTGTACTATCGATTCTGGTTTCTCACATGGCCTTCAAATGAAGCATGCCCCAAGATGGCCTGGTTTCCTCGGGGCCAGCTCTGGAGAGGCAGGATGTCAGCTCCCCACCATGCAGCCATTGGCAGGAATGCAAGGCAGTGGCTGCCTATCTGCGCCGAGCCCCCTGCCCCCCTGCAGAAAACACAGCAGTGCTATTTCAGGCTCCTGACATGGACCCCATCCAGCTACAAATCCCAATCAATTTCAGCATGTGTGAACTGCTGGCACAACCTTTCTCAACACTGTACTTTACCCTCAAAAGAATAGGGAGCAAGCACCCTCGCCTCCCTGGTCCCACGTTCTCCTAGCTGCCGCCCCCTCTCAAACCCGACTAATCTACCTACGCAAAGTAGGAAGGCAGAGCCTTCTTTCAGAGCCCGCAACAGACGGCCACAGTACATGTCACTGACAAGAACTTTTTATTTCAGTTTAATGACATTAAACACAACTGCTACAAGGGGAAAAAAACATGATAAAGAGAGACACCAAACTTCAGTTTCATAATCGATCTGACGACACTCAAGTTAATCGGGGCCTTTGTCAGGTTATTTCAGACTCCATGCTTAAAGGTAAGCAACGGCAGGCAACACATCTTCAATCTGCTTTGTCGAGACCCCAGTGGCGTGAGTGTCCGTCGTCAAGGATGAAGAAAGCTAGGCAGTTAAATGCATATAACTCTTCTTCAAAACAGGCAAACAAACAATACAGCAGGCATTCCACCAGAATGCTGGCCTTAGAAGCCAACACCAAACCTTTGAAAAGAGACGAAAACTCCAGCGTCCACCCACTTCACCTTTAATGCGAACATGCCAGATAAAGAGTTTTCTTTGGCATTGTTTTTCTCTTCGTAGAGAATACCACGTTAACCGCTAGAGAACTGTTCTCTCCTCCTCCGGTCCAACAGATTTAATTAAGCTGCTAACGCTTTGGAAAAACAGAATTATCTGAGTAGAGAGGAAATGTGATTGTCACATTTTCTATTAACCTGTCACTCATTTGATTTGCTCCCATTACACATTCGGTCTTAAGCCATCCTGCACCAGGAATGCATGGTCGAAGAGTCTGCCTTACAAACTGCTGTCCCTTCCCTCGACAGGGCATCTGAGGGCAGGTCCTCAGACTACAAAGTAGACGATGAGACTACTGCAATGGTGGCTGGTCCAAATACATTTCATTCTAACTATGCTGTGGTTCTAAAGACGGGGTTTGGATTGTCTCATTCCATCGAACTCATTCAGGGCAGAGTGACGTACATGCCAACTGAAAGACTAGATTTTGGACACCATGCCATTTAAAAGCTATCCTGAGGTGGAACCCAAGAAATCCCTGGTTCCTGGGTCCCTTTCCTGTCTGCGGCATGGATTATCGACATTGAATCTTCGGGTGCTCAATGCGCTGACCTCTATACAAATGAAGTGAAGACACCTATTCCGACATGAAAGCAAAGTTCGTACCCCTAACAAATACCCCAAACAGGGACCAATCGCAAGGCAGCACCTGTTCTCAGGAAGATTTGAAGTAGAAACTTATCACCTTGAACCCACTGGACAGAATCTGTCCACGATGACTATTTCGTGGACAGATCAAGTACTTAAGTCACCGTGATTAGGCCTAACCACATCTCCCTTCCTGACTTGGCTCCAGCAGCCTCACTGGTATGGTCAGCCATTGCATCAACGTGGGATGCTTCTCCATCTTTTATTTCACAAATTAATCCACTTTACCAGCTATGCTTCGTGATTCCTCTCTTAAGGAGACATTAAAAGAAGAAAAAAAGGACTAGATTTTTGACTCTCGCCTTTGAAAGGAACTTTTCCTTTGCAACTTGGTCCCAGATGCCAAACCCAATGTCCAAGCGAAAGAGACTACTTGATTGGATAAAAACAGTAGATGCTTCATAGGGACATTTATCCAAAATTTATTGGTGGCCTGATGAACCAAACTTTCCCCAAGTCGGGTAGAATGTTGAAGATGGGTTACTTACATACAAAGAGAGAGATGGTAGGACAACAAAGGCAGACAAGCAGCAGCTAATCCAATACCAGGTGTGCTACAGCAACTGTGTACAACTTTCACAGAGTGCACAACCGCAGCAGGAATGCCAAACTGCAAACTTCCCAAGGGAAGTCTAGCGCTATCTGTAGCCAGAGAACAGCCAGTGCATAGGACACTCTAAGATGGCTGTACAAAGCAACTTTGGCTGGAATCTTAAGATCGGGCCATACTTTTCTGCAGAGGCTTAATCACAACTATCTTAGACTCACTTCAGCAGGTAATGTGAAACTGCATCAAGGACTTGACCAAATGAGGAAATGATAAGGTCCATGGTTCTAAAGGCATCTCTTTGCTAACTTAAGAGACCGAAGAGTATCTCTCTGACCTCTCTCACCACCCATCACCTCAAGCCACACTTGAAGCTACAGTTGAGCAGAGCAGACTGGAGGTCCACTGATAGTTCCTGGCACTAGCTGCTGGCCTCTCCCCGAGTCAAGACTGCAGGGCAGTGCCTCAGTAAAGAGAGCAAGGAAGGCGCTGTTGTAAAGAGGCATTCCATGTCTCCCAGGTCACAGGTGAAGGTGGTCACTAGAGGAGAGGTCCTTTAAGATGGGCAAATGAGACCAGCTGAAGCACAAGACCACAACAAAGGCATTCAACGAGGGTTAGTCAACTGGTCTATTGGAGGTACAAGATTTGTAAACACTACTGTGCAAAAGAAGCTTACTGAAGAATGAACCGAGTCACAAAATAGAGGAAGCTAGGAGGGCCAGAAAGGAGAGGAAAGGGATTTACCCATCTAATCTGTCCTTTCAACAGGCTTTTTTTGTCCTGCTCCAATCTACTTCAAATGCCCGTGATTGCCAACTTAAAACACTGACTTGAAAAAAAAACACCAAAAAAAACACTGACTTGTCAGTTCCTAAGTCGTCAGCAATAACTGCCACTGGCTTGTGCCCTAATAACAAATCTCTTCCTTTCGGGGGATGGAGTGACGCTTCCCTTGGGCACCAGAAGATGCCACCACCTTTGCACAGAGGTGAGTGTGTTTACTGCAGCCCGAATGTTTTGACTTAATGCTGGTTTTTAGAAGGCGGTCACCTTCAATGTAAATAAAAGACAAATATTGTAACAATTTAATACTGCTTTAAAGAACATAAAAAAGGGAAGGATCTCATAAAAATAAAATAAAAAAATAAATTCAAGTAAAGCAATCATGCCCCAAAGGTGAAAAATTCTTTAAATAAGAATCTTCTGAAAAGTAATATTCAAAAATCTATAAAGCATAAAACAGCAAAAGACAGGGCAAGATATGACAAAATACCCATTTATAAACTATCAAGGGCTCATGTGGGAGAGGGGAGCGGGGAGGGAGGGGAAAAATGAGGACCTAATGTCGGGGGTTTAAATGGAGAGAAAATGTTTTGAGAAATGATGTACAAATATGCTTTACACAATTGATGTGTGTATGGATTGGGATAACAGTTGTATGAGCCCCTAATAAAATGTTTAAAAAAAAAAACAGCAAAAGACAATGAGATGCTGCTCTGGGTAGTGACCTTCACTGCTGATGGGATGTGACAAGTGGCCCATATGGGAACCCTGTGAGATGCTGGAACCGATGGTGGTTTCCTTTGTTTCTGTCCACCCACTGTGTCAGACTGTATCGCTGTGATTTCTGTCGTAACTGGGCGTAGTTTCTATCAGGAGAGAGGAAGAATAAAAACATGAAAGTTAAGGGTTCCAGACGGAATGGTTGCCGGCACCCAGAAAAGGCCAGCACATCTATTTTAAGGCTATAGCTTTTGAAATTCACTATTAATTTTATATTTCAATATTCACCATCTTAGAGATTTTATACCATTTTATTTATGTGAAAACCACATTACAAGTACAATGTTTCCTTCCAACTCCCAGAGCCACTTAATTCTCATAGAGGTGTCATGGTGATGTCCAAGTAGGACCCACCCCTGCCAACACTGAGCGCAGGATCTAGCTTGCACCTTCAACAAGACCTCGTGGTCGGACACAGTTCAAGGTTGCTTAGGACACTGCAGTTAAAATTAGAATGAAATCCCAGAGAAAGTAAGTCATCATGTATCACAATGAGAGTTTAGAAATAGAACAATTAATAAGCACAGGCTCAAAAGTTTCTCATCAACTTTAGTCACTGGCTAGGCTGGGCTGAGCTGGGGGTCTGAGCAGGACCCTCTGAGATCATTTGATCCATTCTCAATTCTAGCTGTTCCTGGGAAGCTTTCAAAAGATAGGGATTCTTGGCCCCTTACCTTCCCCTCAGACTTCCCCATGAGCTAGAATCCCCGGGCACGGGGCATTTTTGGAAATCTCCAGCTCATAAGGAGCAGACAGGGTTGAAAATAACAACACACGAAGGTAAACAAGCGGCCACCTAGCTCAGAAGCAACAAAGCCCCCACATGGAAGAAGCACACCAGCCTGTGTGATCATGCGGTGTCAAAGGGATCAGTTATCTGGCATCAAAGAACAAAAAATCGTATCATTGTGTGCTCACCTCCCTGATACGATTGCTGAAGACAAATGGGTACATAAGCAAATGTGGTGAAGAAAGCCTGGCTATTAAAAGATACAGCATCTGGGGTCTTAAAGGCTTGAAGGAAAACAAGTGGCCATCTAGCTCAGAAGCAACAAAGCCCACATGGAAGAAGCACACCAACCTGTGCAATCACGAGGTGTCAAAGGGATCAGGTATCAGGCATCAAAGAACAAAAAATCTTATCATTGTGAATGAGGAGGAGTGTGGAGTGGAGACCCAAAGCCCATTTGTAGGTAATTGGACATCCCCTTATGGAAGGGTCACAGGGAGGAGACGAGTCAGTCAGGGTGCAGTGTAGCAACGATGAAACATGCAACTTTCCTCTAGTTCCTAAATGCTTCCTCCCCACCCACTATCGTGATCCCAATTCTACCTTACAAATCTGGCTAGACCAGAAGATGTACAGATAGGAACTGGAAACACAGGGAATCCAGGGCGGATGATCCCCTCAGGACCAGTGGTGAGAGTGGGGATACCGAGAGGATGGAGGGAGGATGGGGTAGAAAGGGAGAACTGATTACAAGGATCTACATATAACCTCCTCCCTGGGGGACGGACAACAGAAAAGTGGGTGAAGGGAGACGTCGGACAGGGCAAGATATGACAAAATAATAATTTATAAATTATCAAGGGTTCATGAGGGAGTGGGGAGTGGAAAGGGATGGGAAAAAAATGAGGAGCTGATGCCAGGGGCTTAAGTGGAGAGCAAATGTTTTGAGAATGAGGGCAATGAATGTACAAATGTGCTTTACACAATTGATGTATGTAGGATTGTGATGAGTTGTATGAGTCCCTAATAAAATGATTTTTTTTTTTAAGAAAATAACAACAGAACTAGACACTGACCTAGTCCATTACGCAAGTACTTGCTGAATTCTTCACCCACCTCATCTCATTAAATCTTACTGACAATTCAAAGGGCAAGGGCGTGCATTAAGTCCTTGTGTAGGTAAGGAAAAGGAGATTCAGGTTAAGTAACATCTAACTTTAAGCAATGTCTTTACCCAGGGGATTTGTTTTCTTATCTGTACAGAACTTTATGAGGTTAAGAAGAATTCAGCAAATACTTGCGAATAGGGCTAGGAGTCCTGGTAATGAGGTAAGGAGACTAGGCTGGGCTGCTACCTGCAAGCTGTCAGCAGTTCACATCTACCAGCCGCTCCTTGGGAGAAGCATGAAGTTGGCTCTCCTGTAAAGATGGACAGTCTTGTAAACCCTACACAAGGTTAGTATGAGTAGAAATCAACTCGATGGTAGTAAGGTCCTACATTAAATGAGTAAAAGGGCTTGGACTTGAGTTGATACTTCATTCTAAAATGTATTTAATAACTGTATGTGGCACTGCCTTGCTCAGAACTGCGGTCATTTTGGCACCTCTAGAGAACTTTCCTCTAGTTCCTAAATGCTTCCTCCCCACCCACTATCGTGATCCCAATTCTACCTTACAAATCTGGCTAGACCAGAAGATGTACAGATAGGAACTGAGGTGGAAGCACATCTGATATGGTGGGAAAACAGTCAGGAAGCCACTCTGACTGGAGCAGAATGAGCAAGGGGGTAAAGGGTAAGAGTACCAAGATGAGGGAGGTGAGCTACCAGGTCATGCAGGCCCTGGCCAGGGACTATGACGATGAGAAGATGGGTGATGGGAAGCAGCTCAATACTTTGGGCAGAAGGATCACAGACTCTGACTTAGGCGTTCAAAGGATCTCTTTTGCTGCTGACTTGTAATAGTAGAAGATGAAGACTACTTCAATGAGTATTAGAATCCAGGTTTCCTGAATGTAGTCCAGTTTTTATTCCATTATACTATATTCTCCTTTCACTCTGAAATCAAACAACAGCTGTAACTCTGAATCCCCACCTCCCTCCTACAGCAAATCCTCTCCTTTCCCTCCTCCCTTGAATCATTTACTCACCGCTCGGTAAGGTCTGAAGGATGCTTCCAGTTTGGGGTTGGCTTCTGATGTACTTGGCCCATCAAGGCACGTAGCTCCCCCAAGGCACCTGTGAGACAGAAGGACTAGGTCAGTGGTTCTCAACCTTCCTAATAACACGACCCTTTCATACCATCCTCCTCATCTTGTGGTGACCCCCCAACCATAAAATTATTTTTGTTGCTACTTCATAACTGTAATTTTGCTACTGTTATGAATCAGGAGACCCCTGTGGAAGGGTCATTCAACCTCCAAAGGGGTCGTGACCCACAGGTTGAGAACCGCTCGACCAGGTGGTTAGGGAATAGCTCAGTCAACTTACCATGTGCTTTCAGGGAATGAGAAAAATCAGCACTGGGCTCAGTACTTTCTATTTAGGATTATCATAAGCATTCAGCGCAAGAACTACCAATTAGAGAGGGGAGCTTGTTCAGGGATGATGATGAAGTAATAAAGACAGCCACCATCCACTCATTCCACATTTATTAAAGTGTCTACAATATCTGAGGAACTTTACTGGTTGTGCTTCTCCTCAATGAAGTTTATACATTGAGGCTAGTGGACTGTGAGGCATGACAATGGGACAAACAGAGGCTACTAGGCAAGCACAGAGATTGGCAGGGTGAGGCTGATGGAAGGACCCCCCACTAGAGGAAAAAACCTATATGCAAGCACCTAAAAGTTAGTGAGAGGGAAGGGTGTCCAAACATAGAAATACTTAATACAAAAGCCCAGCGATACAAGATGGCATAATAAATTCAAGAAATCAGAGGTGCTCAGAACAGAGGACGTGGGGCTCTTAGCTAGCAAGAAACCTGGCTCCAGGTGATTGATTACTCCAACACCCAGGAGCCTGCAAAGCACCACACACTTTACTAGCTATCTTCGTGTATGAAGAAAGGTACTAACTAACATTTAGAGATGGGAAATTGTGGCTCAGGGAGGTATGCTTGCCTTAGTAAATGCTTATTAAGCCTGATTCACTTAGCTTCTGTTTGACTTTATGCTGCCACTGTGTAATAAGGCTAATTTTGTAGTTAAGGGCTGAGGCTGAGGCTTAGGCTACACCCTTCTCAGAATTGGAAATAAACACTTAAGAAAAGAAATTCCCTATTTTAAAATTTAACATGTATTATGATCAGCTGGAGGCAGAGTAAAACAGACTGCTGAGCCCTGATAATTTGCATTTCCAACCAATTTCTAAGTGATGCTGGAACCACACTTTGAAAACCACTGCCCTAGACAGCGGCTGCCCTGCCAGCTAGTTCACATGCTGCTCATTAACCCTTCGAGACACCAAGTGCAACCAAACTAGGCTCGAGACCATCTTTTCAAGTTCTGGTAAAAGATCCTTTACTTCAACTGTTAAGACTAATTTATTTGAAGCCTTAAGAAGCTAAACTGTGAAAAAAAGAAGCTAAACTGTGTAGAAAAAGTATATACTTACTTGGGCAGATAGTTAAAATTCCAATCTAACCACTAAACTAGCTCTGTGACCCTGAACATGTCATTTCTATTGTTTCAATTTATTCATATATGAAACGTGAACAATATTTAAATATATTTAGCATAAAATTCAATATTAGTACATAATTAGCATACAAATAAAAGCACAAAAAACAGCACATTGCTGTTAAGGGGCAGCTACTAAGGAACCCTGGTAGCACTGTGGGTTAAGCATCAGGCAGCTACCCACAGCAAACACCATATAGAGAAGCTCTATTCACCAACACATGGAGTCAGCATGAGTCTGAATAGCAATGGGTTATTCTTTAGTTTCACAGTCTCTACTTCCTTACCTTGCTTTGTTTCTTCCTGTTAGCACTTGCTGTGTATTTAAGGAACTCTGTATTTGTGAGCCCAAGTGGCAAAGTGGTTATGCATTCGGCTGCTAATTGCAAGGTCAGCAGTTCAAAACCACAGGCCACTCAGAAACTGACAGGGACAGTTCTACCCTGTCCTATAGTCATTACGAGGCAACATCAACTGGATGGCAGTGACTTTGTATTTAAGGAGACCTGGTGGCATAGTGGTTAACTGTTGGGCTGCTAACTGCAAGGTCGGCAGTTCACAGTCACCACTAGTCTTGCCACAGGAGAAAGATGAGGCTAGAGTCTGCAATCTGAAGGCACCAGTTGCTCAGAGGGAGAAAGACGTGACAGCCTGCTCCAGTAAAGATTTACAGCCTTAGAAACCTGCTCTGTGCTGCTGTCACTGAGTCACAATTCAACTTGACTGCAGTGGGGTTTTGTTTTTGTTTTCTTAAGCTGTCATAGAATTATCGCCCCAGGCTTATGTTTACTTGCAGTCTCACCAAATCTTATGAGAAACACCTTCTTTTGGTGAAAATATACACAATAAACATATCATTTCTGGGAAATAGATCTATGCACATATATTTACATGTTAAGTATTAAGGTAACAGATAGACATTGGGCCTCTCTACTCAAGTACTCCCTCATGCAAGAACACTTTGTTCTAATAAACCAGCATTCTGTGATGCTCACCTTCCTGACACAATCACTGAAAAGGGGTGCATAAGCAAATGTGGTGAAGAAAACTGATGGTGCGCAGCTATCAAAAGATATAGCGCCTGGGGTCTTAAAGGCTTGAAGATAAACAAGTGACCGTCTAGCCACAAAACTCACATGGAAGAAGCACACCAGCCTGTGTGATCATGAAGTGTCGATGGGATCTGGTAGTGGGCATCAAAGACCCAGAACAAAAAATCCTATCAATGTGAATGAGGGGGAGCATGGCATGGAGACCCAAAGCCCATCTGTAGACAATTGGACATCCCCTTACAGAAGGGTCACAAGGAAGAGACAAGCCAGTCAGGGTGCAATATAACACCGATGAAACATACAACTTTCCTCTAGTTCTTTAATGCTTCCTTCCCCACTATCATGAACCCAATTCTACCTTCGGATTTGTACCATATATACTGGTATAGATAGGAGCTCAAGACATAGGGAATCCAGGACAGACAAATCCCTCAGGGCCAATAACGATAGTAGCGATACCAGAATGGTAAGGGGAAGGTGGGGGGAGAAAGGGGGAACCGATCACAATAATCTACATATAACCCCCTCCCAAGGGAATGGACAACAGCAAAGTAGATGAATGCAGACAGTGGTTGGTGTAAGACATGAAAATTTTTTTAATAAATTATCAAGGGTTCATGAGGGTGGGGGGAGGGGGAATGAGCTGATACCAAGGACTCAAGTAGAAAGAAAATGTTTAGAAAGTGATGATGGCAACATATGTACAAATGTGCTCGACACAATGGATGTATGTATGGATTGTGATAAGAACTGTAATTGTCCTTAATAAAATGATTTTTAAAAAACAACAACCCCCCCCATATCATTTCAACAATCCTTAAGTGTATGGGCTGCATTCTTAAAGTTGAACCAACTTTCTCTACCTTTCCAAATGATTTCATGATTATAACAAAAACCCACTGCTCAATATTTAAATATTTCACTAGTGTCACAGTTTCAGGAGTATCATGGTCAATAGCTCCAGAAAATATACACACTATCTTTTACTTATCAGAAGAAAACAGTCTACTAGATAGATCAGTTCACCCATAAAATATGGATATATTTTATAGTACTCAACTCAGCAGAAATTTCTAATGCCTTTAATGAAAAATTCATAGATTCATTACATAAAAATTCAGGTTTTTTGTGTGGTTGAAAAAAGTATAACTAGATAAAAAAGAACAACATGAAAGATATATTTGAAACATATCTGGGCCAATTTTTTGTCTTTATTCCACAAAGGTAAAATAAAATAAACAAAAAGATGTGAACAGCCTATTCATGAAAGCAATACAAATAACCAGTAAACAATGAAAAGATGTTCAATCTCACTAATACAGAAAGAAGAAGTCATATTAAACTAACTCCTTGTGAAGGGAATATAAATCAGAAATGAAGAGCCTCCTTTAAGTAGGAAAGTAGCTTTTGATTAGAAAATTTCATGCTTCCTAGATTTGTTAAGGTAAGATCAAAAGTCTTAATTTGAATGGTCTTTTCCTATACCCTACTTTCGGGTTAAGTGCTAGGTTGGTGGTTCAAATCCACGAGTCACCCTTTGGGAGAAAGGTGTGGCAGATGGCTACCATACAGATCTACAGCTTTAGAAACCCTATGGCCCAATTCTACTTTGTCCTATAAGGTTGCGGTGAATCCATTCAGTGACAGTGAATTACACTCTATTATTCATACCCCAAGTACCCTGCTCCCACCAGCCTCTAAAAAAGGATGTTGGCAGGGGGTGGGGGAGGGGGAGATCACTTTGTAAATGTTTCAAGATATCTCTTCCTGCCAAAGCATCATCAAAAGAAAGCTAGCATCCAATCTCAAATGGAACTACTATCAGACTATCTGTAAATTGTATCTTTTAGCTTACTTATCTCCTACCACCTGGACTCTACAAAACTGCCCTGACAATTGCAACTAAAGAAAAACTACAAACCAGACAAAAAGATTGGCAAGTGAGGGCCAACGAGGCTTCAAATGGCCAACTATTAGGGGACATAAAGCAGTAGCACCAACAGCAAGCACTTATGTGCTGTACACATAACTTATTTCCTCTTTACAACAATCCTATGAGGTGCTATATAATTGGTTCTGACTCATAGCAACTCTCTGGGCAACAGAACAAACACTGCCAGCTCCTGAGTCATCCTTACAATTGTGGTTATCTTTGTGCCCATTTTGCAGCCACTGTGTCAAGCCATCTCATTTGAAGGCCTCCCCTCCCCTCACTTTTTTTTTTGCTGATCCTCTACCAAGTATGATGCCCTTTTCCAGGGACGGGTCTCTCCTAAGGAGCCCTGGTGGCGTAGTAGTTACGTGTTGGGATGTAATCTGAAAGGCCAGCAGCTTGAAACCAGCAGTAGCTCCTTGAAGAAAGACAAGGCTTTCTACTCCCACAAACAGTTATGGTCTTGGAAACTCACAGGAGAAGTTCTATCCTGCACTATAGGGTCACTCTGTGTCGGTACTGACTCAATGGCAGTGAGTTTGGTTTGGTCTCACCTAATAACATGCCCAAAGT